ACTACAAATTTTACATGCCAAATATAATGTATAATACATTACACCAAAACTCGGGACTAAAATAGAATATTACAAATTATATGCCAAATGAGAAATAAAAAAAAAGTGACTATGATAAATAAATTAAAAATATCACATCCAAATAATAATATAATAAAAACAAAATCCAAATAGTGACTAAAATGAATAAACATAAAAAAACAGTGACTAAATTCAAAAATTAATAAAATCAATATGCATATTCAAAATAAATTACCATAGTGCAATATAAGCTAAAATATGAGGAGCTTAAGGATGCTTTTACCCTGATAGTGACCAAAATGCAAGATATACTGAAATAGGGAGGACTTGGAATGCGATTTGCTCCTGAAACAAATGAACAAAATAGAAAACCCCTAGAAATAGGGGACCTGATACGTGATTTAACCATTTTCCATACAAACATAATATTACCCCCCATGTTTCACGTAAACTGTCTAGAAGCTTTGCAAGCTTCACAAACTCAACGCGGTCGCCCCTCGTCGGCCCTCCTACGTCGGCCTCCTAGCCATTGACCGAGCTACACCCATCGACAACCTCGATCGAGACTGGAGGAGGTTCGAACGACCACCTTGAACGGCCTAAAACTCAGCCCGTTTTCTTCCTAAACTCACTCTTTCACCTCCATGTTTGGCGGCCAAGAGGGCTCAAAATCGAGCCCCAACGCCGGCCACCACCTTGTCCACTCAACAGCGAACAACAAATCTCCGACCAAAGCCTAAACCGATCGAAGAAAGTAACCAAAGGGTCTAAGTGACCCGAGCTATTCCCCTCTCTTTGCTTTCGACCAAGGTCCCCACACGCTCACCTCCGACCACCTCCGACCACACCCTCTCTAGGCCACGAGCCGGTCTCTCTCACAGGCCAGTCATCGCTCAACGGTGGCCACTCCCTCTACAACCCGTGAACCCCCGAAAACAAGAGGAAAAAAGGTATAAAAAAAAGAAAGCAAAAAGTAGAGGAAAAACGTCCCAACAACTTTTTTTCATTCCATCTTTTTAGGGACAAAGGTTGAGTGATTTTACATGGGGTGGTTGGGGTATTAATAGCCCCAACCACTACAATATTATATTGCTTTTTACATAATAAAATGAAAATGAAAAAATGGTGTTTACAACAACTTGCTAAGGTTGACTTCGATTCTGCCCCATTACAGACTTGCGAATCGGATTAAGCTCAGGGGATCACACCACTAAAAGTGTATCTCGGAACTGATATTTGAATAGGCAACTCAGGATGCTTTCTAGAGGTAATTTCTCAGACCCACACAAGGAAGCCGAATGATCCCCATGAGGTGTGACTTTTCCCCTACTTTAATAAATCGAGATTGAGCTCGGGTTTAGAGCTATGATATGCAATAATCATAAATATTCACAAAAGTGTAAGCATTAACCATAAAAAAAAGATCTTTTTTCTTTTTTTCTTTGAAATAACATAATGAACTGTAATTAAATAAGATCGAACTCATAATTTCCAAAATCCTAAATATAGGGTAACCAAATTGTGGCTTGACTCTCAATTTGTTTTAGAAAACAAAATATCCTCAGTAGAGTCGCCAAGCTGTCGACGTCGTTTTTCACCCGGTTAGGGAAAAACTGGGTACGCCATAGGGGTTTTCTTTGAAAAGGGTTTGAAATTTGAGGAGTCACCACCAATCATTTTAAGGTGCGACAGGGACACCATAAAAACTGTGTGATTTTAATAAAATATTTTTATTTTTTTTTATCAAAATACCAAGTTTAGGGTCTACGAAAACCAAAAAAATAGGTTTGGGAGTCAGTTACGCGTGGGGAAGGATTAGCATGCCCACAGCACCCAAAAATTGGTAACTAGTTAATTACCTTATATTTAGAATCGAAAATTTTGAGTTCAAACTTTATCTAATTTAAAAATCATTTAGGGTGCAAAGTTTGTATTCATTTATTAAATCCAATAGCATTCGCCCCCTAGCATGAATGCGGGAGATCAGTTATTGTGCCTAATAACCAGACATTGCCTCGATATTTTAGAAATCATGATGCGATCTTGAAAAGGATGTTGAGCTATTTCGGGAATCACCAGTAGTCACCCATGAGCATACTTGCGAGATATATACTATTGACTCCATAATAAATGAACATTGTCTTGTGCTTGAAAATATATGCAATCAATCAGTTAATTGATTATAACCCTAATTTTACTAGGTGAGTTTGTCAAAGGATTTCTAGCCTAAAAGTTTTCAAATTATGTAATTAAAACATCTAGAGGCCTAAACCTAAAAATGTAGGTTCTAATATTAATCCTACTTGATTTTAACCAGTTATTGAATCGAATAATTGATATGGTCCATTGGGCATTTAGGGGAGGGCTAACTAAGATTACTCCTTAAATTAGAAAACAAGATTGAAATTTAACTAAAAGCGGAGGCTTTATTTAACAACCTATTTAATTATGTTAACTTAAAATTCTAATTAAAAGTTTAAGGACTAAAATGCAAGGAAACTAAAGTCCAAAGACATAAGTGTAAATAAACTAAAGTAAAAGGACTGAGTCTATAACACCTAAAGTTTAAAGACTAACCAATAAATCAAGGCTCGAATAATTGTCCTAATTAACTATTTAAAAATTAAGGTGTTGGACTAAATAAGTTTTAAAATTAGTAAATAATTAACAATTTAGGGCCTTGAACAATCGACTCGAGTAATCGAGCATTTTATGCGAAAACTCGAATTGAATTACTCCCTAGTTAAAACTAAGGTGAAACCCTAATTACTAAATCAAATTTTAAGTTTATAGATCTACTCTAAGGAAAAATTCTAAAAAGCTAATTAAATTAAACAAATATAAAGGAGGCGTACATTTTAAATATCAAACAAACAATTATATAAATTAAATGCAAGAAAGAAATAAACAAACAAATGTATTTTAATTGAAATCTAGTAAATTACATATAAAGGGACTGAATCAAATTGATATTAAATTAAGAGGTTTAAAAATGTTTGAACATGTAATAAAAGGACCAAATTAAAATAACTTAAAAATTTAGTAACTGAATCAAAAAATTAAAAATAAAAACAGGTTAGTGACCAAAATATAAAAACACGCTGAAACTGGAGGGACTAAAAAATAGTTATTCATTTTTTACAAGCCTAAAATGCACTATTAAATAAAAATGCGAAAATTATAAAATCAATTTAACAAAATTAAAATTAAATTAAATAATCACTACAAGTGACCAGAATGCAAAAACACGCTAAAAGTAAGGGAATGAAAAGAAAATATAACAACAATGCACAACACGCATAAAAAAAGGGAAATAACGAAATGAGTGCAAATAAAAGAATGATAAATAACATATTTGGTCCTCGCATGTGACAAAAGTAAAAAAACATGGCTGACTATAGGGGACCTAAACGCGAATAACCCCTAAAATTCCTCTATAAAACACATTTCTTTTTTTCATTTTCAACCTATTTCATAAAAAAAACTAAAAACCCTTTCAACTTTCTCTCTCGACCAACCTTGCCAAACCCTTACCCTCCGCCTCGCTCCGGCCACTACACGCGGTGGCTAGAGCTCCTAAACCAAACCCAAAAGACCCCCTTGCTTCAATCTACTCCCCTAAAACCATATCTAGAGTCGAAATCAACAAATATAACGTATATATACATCCAAAAACTCCCTAGACGCTTCGTTTTCCTTATCTCCGGCCGCCATGGAGATGAACCAACCCTTCAGTTTCTCTTCTCAGGTAACTACTCGATTTCCTCTCTTTTTTTGTTTTTTTCGTAAATATTTTTTTCTGTATTCGAAACTGAGAAAAAGGAAAAAAAAAGAGCTTTTTACCTTAATTTTTTTTTTATTTTTGTATTGCTTCGAAAATCAGTGGGGAAAAAGTACCCTTACATGCTTTTTTTTTTGGATTTTGTACCTGAAACTTATAGAGATATAATAATAAAAATTATTACATAAGGAAACCTAAACTACTGCCATCACTGTTTGTGATGATTTGTGCCCTTTAATGTCTCAAATTTTTCGAGGTTTGGTTGGATTTGATATTGATCTAATTTTTCCTTTTGTTGTGTTGCTGAGATGATGGTGGTGGAATAGTGAAGATGACATGCTTTGGATCTGAGAAAAAAAAGTTGACGGTGATGGAGGAAAATGAACAGTCAACGTTTGTAGCTCACGTGCGATGACGTGCAGGTGAAACTCCTATGCCGGTGGTGAATCACCCGGTGAGGGGAGCCAAAAAGCCACATTTGAATGATGTGTTTGACAAGGATGGAAGAGAGGAGCCATTGATGGAGCCATATGAGCCATTGATCGAGGGTTAGATCCAAGGGATAGGAGCTTGCCATGTCACTCCTCCTTTTTCAATGATTGTGTTTGACAAGGATTGAAGAGAAGCCCTCGGTTGAAAGTTAATCAAGTGATGCGATCATTTTGTATTTCTTTAAGAGATGCCATCATTAATTACACCTCAAAAGTAACACCTCCATTAAATGTTTGTCTCCATCTAAAATTCAAAAAATATCATCCACCAAGAACAAAAAAACTGGCGGCTACCCTAAAGAAAACGATACAATAGGGTCTAAACATTGGGCCCAATTTTATAATAATAATAATAATAATAATAATTTATACTAATATTATAATAATAATATTTAACGGTTGAAAATGTTGATTGCAATATTTTTCACATGTTTTCTTCTAAAATCTCTACAATTTAATGTCTGATGATGTGGTGAGATATGTTAAACATTAAAAGTCTACCACATGGCACTTCAAGAAGGAAAAAAAGTCAATCAAATCAAAGATAACGGCATGATAGCAATTGAACCATTTTTTTCTGAAGACAACCAAGAAGTATTCAATGTAAATCAATTCAGAGTTTTGGTTTTTAGTTGCTGAAAACCAACTTCCCAGTAGGAGAAACCAAAGAATATTCATTTCCATAAAAGAAAAAGAAAAAAAAAACATTTGCTGTAACATCATACAATTTTGCGATACAGGCATGCTATGACTCCAGTTATGCATGCTTTAAGCACAGGATTTATCATACAATTTTGATAACTTTACAAAGGTGAAAACACCATTAATACAAGTTCATGCTGACCACATGTACATGGGATCCTACTCAAGGAAGAAAATGCTTGAGTATCAGATGACCCAGAACCAAGCTATGACTGATCCTAATGCCAGACCAACAACTAGAAATAACACCATAACGGTGCCGGAAGTCTCTGCATGTTGTCTGTGAACAGATTTGGGAGCCATGATCATTAACACACTTGTTAAATAACCATTGGTTATCCCTAGAAGGCATGTTAGAAACGAGATGGGAATCTCTGTCTGGAAGAACCGAGGACCGTGCAAGCAACCTATGAAGACAGGAAAGAACAGTAACCTCACCACACAAGCAGAAATTGCAACCTTCGCATTCTCAAGTAGGTAGACCGCAGTCAACGATTTGCCAACCATGTCAAACATATTGTAGGCCGTGATAAGAAGGACCGGATACCAGTCTTTGAGAATCGATGACTGCACATCTTCTGTGATGTATCCTGGAAATATAGCCAAAGTCACAACATATATGAGGACGACCCCAAATCCATACCACTTGACTGTTCCTACTATATTCCACAAGGTTGCTCTCCAAACAGGCCCGGTAATGGGACCTTCCTCAACTCTTTCTGTTTTAACAGCCTTGATCTTCAACTCCTTGTAGTACTTCATGATCGGAAGTCGGTGTGCCATGTTGTACAAAACTACGCATATAACCATGAACACAATGCTAGTGAAAAAGTAAAGATAGGCACTCTTTCTCAGGCCATCAGCATCTTGTGGAAAAACAGCTTTGGTTAGAAGCCTTAGCAATGAAACAAGGACCCCTGCAGCCAATAATTTGACAAATTAAAATTGCAAGAGATGCAATAGTTTTCACTTATCACTCTGTGTTCTGCATATAAACAAATTAAAAACATAGATGCACGGTTGTTTCTCAACTCGGCTGGTGGAATTAAAAAACTCATCTGCCATAGACCATATATAGCAAAGGAAAAAAGCTTCAAGTAGTTCAAGGTTCAGGGTTCATAGCGTTAACTGTTAATTTTATAGGCTAATCTATAGCTTTATTCCATATCCAGCGAACAAGGGTGACCTTCAAGCTGTTACAGCAAAACATACCTTGAAAACAACTAAGCCCATGGCAGATCCACTAAGGCGTAAGGGTAGGTAAGTGCTCAACCTAAAATTCAAAATTTCTTCAAGTAATTACCTATTTTTACTAATTGTGTCCACCTTAAATTTTACTTGTGCCTATCCCGTATTAATTTTTGTGGTTAATACATATGTATGCCCACCCTCAAAACCATTTATGGATCCGCCACTAATGAACTAAGCTATCTATGGTTGACTCAAACTACTAGTTGGGTTACTATAAGTTAAACTAAACAGCTCGGTTTTCTGAATGTTCAAGTAATCAATGAACAAATTCCTACGAAATTGTGTAAATACTAATCAACTTCCAAGCATTCATGTGATAAAAGGAAATTTGAATTAACATCTATATCTACAATTACTCAAAAAAGAGGGTTCTTCATTAAATTACCAGAACCGCCAGATCCTGCAACGATAGCCTGCATGTAGCGTTCCGGCAATTCCCCAGCCGCCCCATAGAGCCCACCTTGAACAAGCGCATCTGCTATACCCGCCAAAGCGAGAACCCCGACCGTAACATAAAAGCCATCATACAACCCGACCCGGCCCCTTATATAAAACGCATCCATAAGGGGGACAACGAGGAGGGAAACCATGAATAGGGCCAAACCAATATTGATCCGCATGTAAGCTTCACTTTTGTGAGCATAGAACACAATGATCAAGAGGCAAAAGAGGCCGACCACCATGTAAGAGACGGCGAATACACGGTCGACCGAAGCTTCCGGGTAGAGATAGGAGAAGTAATCGACAGCGGTGATGAAGGAATTCCATGGGAGGAGGAATCCGACTCCCAATGTCAAGTAGATGATATAGGCGAAATTGAAGTTGTCTTCCGGCTTTGGTGATTGGCGGAGGGGAAGGAGGGCGGCGGATTCGGCGTCGGGTTCTAGGCCTCCGTTGGTCGTGGATTCACCGGAGAATCCCATTTGGAATGGTTTTCCTTTTTGGATTACTGCTTCCCAAAAAAATGGGTTGGCAGAGGGAGAAATAGTTGGGATATTTATTGGATGAATGGTCATTTATATTTTTATCTAATCAATTTTGGTCAAGTTCCAAAAATTATTTTAATTCCCTTAAACTTTAACTTAAAGAAATATATATATATATATATATATATATATATATCAAAAAGGAATCTGAGCTATGCTTCAGACGAAATCAGAATCATCTTCTTCATGGTTTATTCACTAAAGTAGCTAGTTTACAAAATAAGTAACTCTAATTCATTCTTCTCTGATGGGGTCGAAGTTGTCGAGACGATCAACGTGCCTTATAATCAACAGGTTTTGTTGATAAGTTTCCGAGTCCAAAGAATACATTGCCATTGATTTAAGGTTTAGGCTTCTCTGAGGAATTAAAGGTTTTTTGAATAATGAAGTTCGGAAAGAAGCTATGATGCTGCCACATAATGTCCCCATAATGCTATGGTGTATAGTGGCATTACACTTATGAATAATGTAGGTTGTTTATACGATAGTAGAAGACACGAGATTTCTTTTTTCTTTTTAATTACTTGCTCATACATCTGTTAATGAGAGTTAAAAGGTCAATAGACTAAAATCGAATGAAACAATATAGTAAGGGATCAAACGCATTTAATTTTTGAATAGGTGATCAAATTCGGCCAGAACGAAAACAAAGGAAACCATACATATAAATACTCTTTATTAAATGTAAATCACATGCGGTTTATTTTAATATTAAAATAAATCAAATAATCGAGTTCTTAATGAGAAAGCGATAGAGTGAAAAAATTCAATTTATAAAATTTAATGAGTAAATTGAAAATTTTAAAATTACAACGAGTAAAATAGGAGAAAAAGTAAAATCCAATTACAAAACTTATTAAAAATAAATAGTATAACAACAACATAAACATCTATTTTTTAAAATAAAAATAATCTATAATTGTCGTAAGATCGGACACCATCTTATCTGATCTGTGTTTTACCAGAAATGTATCGGGCTCGGAAGTCGGTTACGGTTAAGGAAGGATTAGCACCCTTGAACCGTCCATTCGGTACCAATTAATTTATCGGTTGTCTTTAATTACGAAAATTAAGAATTTAAATTGAAATTTAAAAATTCGATTCGAATTATTTACCTTTTGATCAATTAAAATTATCCTAAAAAATATCAAAAATAAAGTAAAAAAAACAAAGACAAAGAGTTAGTATTAAAAATAAAAATAAAAAGAATAAAAAAAGGAATGAAAAAATATTCAAATGCAAGGAAACATAAAATAATAGAAAAAAATAAATAAATAAACAAAGATAAAAATGCAAAAAAATAAGAAAAGCAGTATCAAATCAGGAATAAATAGTTACTAAAATAAAATGGACAGATATAAAGTGTCAAAATTAAAAATAAACAAAACCATAAATATAACATGTTAGTGACTAAATTAAAAATAACAAAATTAAAATCACCCTTCCTTCCTTATTAACTCTAGAATACGTGAACCCAAATTAAATATCTCATTCCCCTTTTTTATTTTGATCTGTTCTTCAGAATGAAGAACTGCCGCCTAGGTTTCCAGTATCTAGCCCCTTGCGTCGCCTCGTCGCCGCCGTTGATCGACGCTGACCGCCGGTCATTGGCGGCAAAACTTTATTTTTTTTTTGTTTTTTTCCGAAAGATCTCCTCCTATCCATCATGAAAAATCAAAAAAAAAATTAAAAACTAGCCTCGGGGAGGGCTACAACTGAGTTCGAAACTCTCAAACCTTCCCTTCGTTCATCGACCGTTCAGGTTTTTGGCTTTTCCGAGTTAAAATCAATGAGTACAAGAACAATGCATGCAAAATTTGGGCAAGGTAACAAGAAAAATGCCTTTTTTATTCAATATTTCTTTCGAATATTACAAGAGTATGCTTCGAAATTTCTGCTCTTTCTCACGTATTTTTTGTGTATTCATGTGCCTAAAAAAATTGTCCCTATTGTGTTGATTACATGGGTATTTATATACAAAATAATGCTATTTTTAGTTCCGAAATTTCAGTGTTTTATTTGGACTAAAACACTTGCTGTTTGGTGGTTGTTTTGCTTGCGCCGAATGCTTCGGAGATGGAGGCGTGTTGCCGTGAAACGCAGGTTGTTGGAGAGCTGGAACGTGTTACTGTTGGGCCATTGTTGGGCCACGTGTTAATGGATTTGGGCCGAACGAAAATTAGTATCTACAACTGCCCCTCTTTGCCCATAGTCATGTAACGGGGATAGGGCAAAGATTATAAGATGCAATTTTCGTCCATGGACGTATCACTGAGTTTAACATTCACCATCAAACATCCTCTGTTGTGGTGTGGACAACTCTAAGCACGATATCCCTCGTCACGAAGTTGAAATCGAACTCCAAAATCTTCGTTGACTGATAGCTTTCCTCGACTTAAGTTATGCTGCTGGAAAATGGTTGCTTGTCACTAAAGTACAGCCGACCCAGGTCTTATTCTTGTCTTAAAGACCTCAGTTTAAACTAGAAAGTAGTTTCATTGAGCTGAGCACAGCCAACCCAGGTCTTCTTCTTAACTTAAAAACCTCGACTGCAACCGGAAAGTAGTGTGATTGACGTGTCATCGAGTTGAAGGGAATCGAACTCGACAATTTTGTTGACAGATAGCCCATCTTGCCTTGAACTATGCTGTAATTGATGTGCCTTGGAGCTGAGCGTAGTCGAACTCGAAGGTATTTGGTTGGCATTTAGCCCTTCTTGATTTAAGCTATGCTGCAAATGATGTGCCTTAGAGCTGAGCATAGTCGAACTCGAAGGTCTTTTGGTGACACATAACCCTTATAGCCTTGAGTTATGCTGTAAATGATGTGCCCTCGAAGCTGATTGTAATCGAACTCGAGGGTTTGGTGTTTCAAGAGAAACATTTTCAAAGGTTTTTTTTGTGTTTCAAGAGAAACAATTTCAAAGGGTTTTTTGGTGTTTCAAGAGAAACTGTATTCAAAGATTGAAGTTTCAAGGGAAACTATCTCAAGAGAGACAAAATTTGTTTCAAGAGAAACTGTCTCAAGAGAGACAAAAGCTTCCAAAATAAACTGTGTCAAAGGAGACGAAATTTGTTTAACGTAAAACATATTCAAAGATTTTGTTTCAAAGGAAACTGTTTTCAAAGTTTATGTTTCAAGAGAAACTGTCTCAAGGGAGACAAAATTTGTTTCAAGGGAAACTATCTCAAGAGAGACAAAATTCATTTCAAGGGAAATGTTTTCAATGTTTATGTTTCAAGAGAAACTGTCTCAAGGGAGACAAAATTTTGTTTCAAGGGAACCTATCTCAAGAGAGACAAAATTCATTTCAAGGGAAATGTTTTCAATGTTTATGTTTCAAGAGAAATTATCTCAAGAGAGACAAAACTTAGTTCCAAAAGAAAATGTCTCAAGGGAGACGAAATTTGTTTCAAGGGAAACAGATTCAAAGATTTCGTTTCAAGAAAAACTATCTCAAGAGAGACAAAATTCATTTTAAGGGAAATGTTTTCAATGTTTATGTTTCAAGAGAAACTATCTCAAGGGAGACAAAATTTTGTTTCAAGAGAACCTATCTCGAGAGAGACAAAATTCATTTTAAGGGAAAGTTTTTCAATATTTATGTTTTAAGAGAAATTGTCTCAAGAGAGACGAAACTTAGTTCTAAAAAAAATGTCTCAAGGGAGACAAAATTTGTTTCAAGAGAGATAAAATCTGTTTCAAGAGAAACTATCTCAAGAGAGACAAAACTTCTTTAAAAAAACAGTCTTGAGTGAAATGAAATGCCTTCTTTCGAGTGAAAACGGTCCCAAGAGAGACAAATCTTGTTTTGAGAAAAACAATCTTGAGTACAATAATTCTTCTTCCAAGTAAAACAGTCTCAAGTGAGACAAAGTCTGTTTGAAATAAATCTTCTTTCGAGTAAAACATTCTCAAGTGAGACAAAGTATGTTTTAAAAAAAACAATCTCAAGTGAGATAATCATCTTCATTAAATGAGACTATCTCAAGCATTTATATTGGAAATGTTGAATATGAAGATGAATGTCGATCTTTCAATCTGTCGAGTTGGCTTTTAATCTCATCTTCTCCTGAAATATCTATAAAATGAATTTGGATGTAACTATCATGATGATGGATGTTTAATGTATGACAAAATGAAATTTATTTGCTGTTGAATTTGTCCTCAAGAGAGGAAAATCAAGGTTTATATTTCTCATGAATGCAAAGATGCAAATTTCATGCGTCATGTATGTATGTGTTGATGTATATGTTGATATGTAATGGGAATGGTTGTGTGTGCAGTCTTCATTGTATCTCTGACTCAGTTTGTCTTCATTTCCACCAGGGTGTACTCTTGCAGACCTCAACCTAAGAAAATTTTCCTTACCCTATCAAATTTTACCCCAAAAATGGCTTCCTTTGCCTCAGTTTCAATCTTGAGCTTCGGAGCGATGTTGAATTCCAATATATACTTCCAGAGAACTTATCTTGCTTGAAAATACTTTTACTCTTTCGAATTTTCAAAATTTTGAAAAATATCAAAAGAAATGTTGAAAAATACTGCCCCCTTCTTGGTTTCACAATTGAAGCAAATCATAAAATAGGAGTTCATTGGATATCACAATAATCAAATTCTCTTTTAAGCTTTGATAGCTGCAAATCTTTGACAAATATCAAAATCGAAAAGTTGATTTAGAGGTGGGTTTGTTTCATCGATTTGGTCAGGGCTCGCCCCTCTTTCTTGGTTTGATATTTTAATCGGATGCAACCAAAATGACACAACTAGCATAATCAATGGCTAGACCTTTTAGAACACTTTTGTTTCAGTTCTCTGAAATCTTTCGTTTGTTCAAGTTTTGTAAGCTCCTCTAACAAAGGTAGTGCAAAAATATTGGTCTAAAAATAAAATTCTTGAGTGCTCGTGTGTATTTGACTATAACAGGTGTTCCTTAACTCCCTTAGTCCATTTTCACCGAAACTCAT